GCTCCTTGGAAACCCTATACCAGGTCGCTATGAGGAGAAACCAACTCGACAGCACTTAACAACAATTCTAGAAATGTTCTAAACCTAGAAATGTTCTAAATGCTCCATCACCTCAGAATGTTCTCCCTCAACACAGAGGAACTTCGTGCTGGTTCTGCCCCACTCTCAAAGTTACCACGTCGAATCCACAAAGAGAGACAAAGGAAGCCTTCAAGGCCAACTCCCCACTACTAAAGACCCCGGAACCATGCTGAATGGGATCCCAGGGAAAGGCTTTTCACGGGTCCCTGAATAACAAATAAACACAACTGACTGCCAGGCTGGCCTGGGCTCCCACTCAACCCTCTCAGTACAGCAGGAAACCCCATGATCAATACACCTGTCCTCACTAAGCCCTGCCCCAAGTTCCCCAGGAAGGTGTGTGGAAGACCACAACGTGGTCTCAGCAGACGTGACTCACCTACATGTCTACCAGTTTGTCTGACCTAGAGGTCTCCATAGAATGCAAACACTGTGGCTCACCTACATTCCTCTTCTCAACACCAAAATGGCCAGGAACACAAACAAATCGAACTAAGATTAGCCAGAGTGAAAACTGATTACTAAGATTTCTGCTCACAATCCCCAAAAGGGCCTAACTATACACATGGTTTCAGGGCCAAGGAAATCCAGCCCCCCCCGGCCAAAACACAGACACCAGAGAGCGAACTGGGGGCGGTGAGAGAGAGAGGGGGGCTATGCACCTCTCCCCCAGATACAGCTGGGTTTTGGGTTGGGTGGTTTGATTTTTTATTTTTGGATGTCTGACCAAAAGTATGGTCCTCTCTTTGATACAGTGGACTGAGAATTTCCTCTCTGAACCCAAACAAGCAATTGTGGTGGGGAAATCTGCCCAAGTCACGAAAGGAAGATGTGTGGCCACTGACGTAATTTGGGCTAGTTCAAAGTGGTGGAGACTCCCCTCCCCCAACAACAGAGTTTTAACAGATTTCACTGCTTTCTTCCCTCCTGTCTTCTCCTTCTTTGAGGCTTACTCTCTGAGCTCACAGCCAGATGACAGAAGGCAAACGAAAACCAGCCACGGAGTCATTGGTAACTGAGGAAAGTGGGAGAGGGGATTGGAAGGAAAATTTCTAGGAGAGGAATCCCAAGATGGAGTCCAGGTGACCATGAAGCCGTAGTCTTGACCCGGACTTTGGCAGGTGGGGTTCCTCCTCGGGGCCAGGTTCAGATGGCCAACCAGTGTTGTAGCTGCAGAGAAAGATAGGGACTAGTTATGAGATGGTGTGGTGGACAGAGGGACCCAGAGCCATTGGAGAGGGTCAGCTGGAAGCAAAGAGCAGGCAGAGAAACCAGACTCTTAACAGCTGATTTCACAGACCTCAGAACCACAGATTAGTTCCCTAATTGTCAATGAGACCCAAAAATAGCAAAGGAGTCTTCCAAAGTCACACAGCGAGTCTGAGACAAGGGGCTCACCAGGACCCTCTTATGCCACACCCCACCCCTGGTAAAAAGGTGGGCCTCAGGTGTAGCTGCAGAATTTCCTTCAAGAGAAGAAGCTCTCAGCCTGGTCTGGTGACTCTCCACAGGAGTAGAACAGAGTTGTTGGGAAGATCGGGCATTTGACATCACAGAATCTGGGTTCAAGTCCTAACATGGTCCCCTACAAGCCACGTGAACCCAGCAGCATCTTGCTAAGTACCAGTGTTCTCCCGATGACATGGGGGAGAGGGTTAAGGAGCAGGGGAGGAACCCCTGGCAATGAGTTGATTCCATCTCATAGTGACCCTATATTGGGTTTCCGAGACTACAAATCTTTATGGGAGAAGACAGCCTCATTTTTCTCCCACTGATCCTAAGGTTGTTGTAGTAGTTAAGTGCCATTGAGTCAATTCAGACCCGTAGTGACCCTGTATAGGGTTTCCAAGGAGCAGGTGGTGAGCTTGAACCACCGACCTTGTGGTTTAAATGACTTTGCAGTCTGGCACATTAACCCACAGCGCCACACCAGGACTCCGATCTTAAGGTTAGCAGCCCACTGACTTCCCAAAATGCAGTGTGTGGCACTCTGGAATAAATATTGGATCTTAAGGTTGTTGTTGTTAAGTGCTGTCGAGTCGATTCCAATCCATAGTGACCCTGTACAGGGTTTCCAAGGCTGTAAATCTTTACGGGAGCAGACCGCCTAAGGTTAGCAGCCCAATATTCATCCCAGAGTGCCACACACTGCATTTTGGGAAGTCATTAAGGGGGCTAATATCTCCTTATTTCAAAAATGAGGAAACTGAGGCATAGGCACCCAAAGCAATGGAGTGACTATCCCAAAGTTCCCAAAGTGACACAATCAGGATGTGGGAAGAGCCACACTCCAGCTGCTTTCTTGTCCCAGACTGCCCTCTGGGTCCCACCAACCCCTTTCTCCCTTTCCTCAGGCTCCCACTCTGTCAGACCAAGGGCAGGAAGCACAAGGACAGGCAGAGGCTGGGAAGAAGAAAAGGATGAGCTCCCTCTTCTGTCTCCAACACCACATCCAACCCCACACCACAGGAGCTACAGCCAGAGGCTGCCCAGATGTTCTATCTGTGGTTGACCCTGAGTGGTACCGCACCCACCTGGAATTGCCTGACATCCTTCTGGGCCACTAGGTGGTGCTCATTCTCCGGTGTGAGGCCATAGGCCAGTCTCTGTGAGGAAGGAGACAGGGAGGAAACCTCAGCGTGGTGGCTGGGACAAACTCCCAGCAGCAGAGCCAACACCCTCACATGTAGCCCCAAATCCCCACATCAATGGATAGTACGTGAGGGCCACACAAGACACTCTCAGTCTCTTTTAGGGAGCTTGTTAGTTCACTTTGAGTCATCCACCATTAACACTGATTGAGCCTATTACTGGTCAGACCCTTGGGACCCAGAGCTGAGGAGACCATAGTCAATTTTGGGAGAGTTGATAGACCATGTAAGGGATTGGCGTTAAACACATAGACACATGGGTAATTGTTTAACTAGGATTGGCCTCAGTGCATGTAAGGCAGAGTGGGCCCCATGGGGATCAGAGATGGCCTCCCTGAACCCTATGTAAAAACATATGGCAGGGACCTGGGGAACCTTTTTTGAATGAATGGTTGATCACTATATAGTGAGCTCCACACAGGTAGGGATTTGTGTCCAGTTCCTAGAATACTGTTAGGCACATATTAGATTCTGAATCTAATCTCAATCTGTGAATGAAGAACTGAAATATTTATTTTGCAAAATAAGGAGATGGGGCAGGAGGAGGCACTTCAAGGACTGGGGTCCTGAAGCGCATTTACTTGGGAGGGCTGGAGTCTTTACAACCATTGTTGTTAGCTGCCATCTAGTCAGTTCCAACACGTAGTGACTCTGTGTACAGCAGAACAAAACACTGCGCCATCCCCACAACGGTTGTTATGTTTGAGCTCATTGTTGCTACCATGCGCCAATCTATCTGGTTGAAGGTCTGCCTCTTTTTCATTGACCCTCGAGTTTCCTAAGCATGATGTCCTTTTCCAGGGACTGATCCCTTCTGACAAAATGTCTTAACTACCTAAGACTTTAGACATGTTGTCACATCCAAGGAACAACCCAGCTGTACGTCTCCCCAAACAGATTAGTTAATTCTTATGACATGTTGCTAAGTGCCGTCGGGTCGATTCTGACCCATAGTGACCCTGTATATGGTTTCCAAGGAGCAGCTGGTGAGCTTGAACCATCGACCTTGCAGTTCAAGCTACTTTGCAGTCTGACGCATTAGCCCACAGTGCCACATACTATGCCAACATCATTGAAATGCAACAATTCTTCTACAGTCTTCTTATTTGTTGTCCAACTTACATATGCATATGTTGGTGTTGTTGTTAAGGGCCATCAAATCGGTTCTGACCCACAAAGACCCTGTATAGGGTTTCCAAGGAGCAGCTGGTGAGTTTGAACCACCGACCTTGTGGATCAAACCAACTTTACAGTTCAGTGCATCAACCCACAGCCCCACACCAGGACTCCACACACATGCATATATTGTTGTGGTTAAGTGCCTTTGAGTCAATTCCAACCCATAGTGACCTTGTATAGGGTTTCCGAGGAGCAGCTGGTAAGCTTGAACCACCGACCTTGAAGTTCAAACAGCTTTGCAGTCTGGCACATTAACGCACAGCGCCACACCAGGACTCCCACATGATATGAGGTGATTGAAAGTATCATATCTTGGCTCAGGTGCAAATTACTCTTCAAAGTACCATCTTGTTCTTGAACACTCTAAAGAGGTCTTTTACAGCAGATTTGGCCAATGCAATGTGTCATCTGATTTTTTGACTTCAGGTTCCATGAGCGCTGATTACGGATCCACGTAAAATGAAATCTTTAACAACTTCAATCTTTATCCATTTATCATGTTGCTATTTATTGGTTCAGTTGTGAGAATTTCTGCTTTGTTTACAATGACGCACAATCTATACTGAAGGCTGTAGTCTTTGATCTCTGCTTCCAGCAAGTAAGATTGTGTCATTTGCATATAGACGATTGATAATGAGCCTCCAATCTTGATGCCTCATTCTTCTTCATATAGTCTAGCTTCTAGAATTATTTGCTCAGCATATAGATTGAATATGTGTGGTGAAAAGCTACAGCCCTGATGCACACCTTTCCTGATTTTAAACCGTTCAATATCCCCTTGTTCTATTCCAGTGACTGCCTCCTAATTTACGTAGAGGTCCTACATGAACACAATCAAGTGTTCTGGAATTCCCACTCTTCAAAATGTTATTCCATAGTCTGTTATGATCCACACAGTTGAATGCCTTAGCATGGTCAATGAAACACAGGTAAACCTCTTTCTGGCAGTCTCTTCTTTCAGGCAAGATCCATCTGACATCAGCAATGATATCCTTCATTTCACAACTTCTGAATCAGCTTGACTTTCTGGCAGCTCCCTGCTGATGGACTACAATAACCATTTTTTAATTCTCTTCAGGAGAATTCTGAAGGCTGTAGTCTTTGATTTTCATCAGTAAGTGATTCAAGTCCTCTTTACTTTCAGCAAACAAGCTTGTGCCATCTGCATATCACAGGTTATTAGGAAACTTCCTCCAATCCTGGCCAAATCTGCTGCAAAAGACCTCTTAAAAGTGTTAAAAAACATAGATATCACACTGAGGACTAATTGACACCTGACTCAAGCTAGGGTGTTTTCAATCACCTCAAGTTCTTCATATAATTGAGCTTTTCCAATTATGTGCTCAGCATACAGACTAAGCATGGTGAAAGGATACAGCCTGGACACACACCTTTCCTGATTTTAAACTATTTCAGTACCCACTTGTTCTGTTTGAATGACTGCCTCTTGGTCTATGTACAGTTTCCACAGGAGCACAGTTAAGTGTGCTGGAATTCTCATTCTTTGAAATGTTATCCATAATTTGTTATGCATAGTTTGCTATGATCCACACATAACCTTTGCATAGTCAATGGAACACAGATAAACGTCTTTCTGTTATTCCCTTCTTTTAGCCAAGATTTATCTAATGTCCACAGTGCTATTCTTAGCTTCACTCCTCTTCTGAATATAATTTGGGTTTCCCGAAGTCCCCTGTTGATGTATTGCTGCAAGCATTTTTGAATTATCTTCAACAAAATTTTACTTGCGTGTGATATTAATGATGTTGTTGTTAAGTGCTGTCTAGCCGGTTCCTGTTCATAGCAAGCCTGTATGGGGTTTCCAAGGTTTACATTTTTGCAGGAGCAGGAAGCCTCATCTTTCTCCTGTGGAGATGGCTGGTGGGCTCAGACTGTGGACCTTGTGATTCACAGTCCAGTGCCTATCATATGCAGCCATATTGTTGGATAATTTCCACATTCTGTTGGATCGCCTTTGGAATGGAAATGAATATCGATTTCTTCCAACTGGTTGTCCAGGTAGCTGTCTTCCAAATTTCTTGGCAAAAACGGTGAACACCTCTAGTGCTTCATTAGTTTGTTGAAATATTTCAATTTGTATTCTGTCAGTTCCTGGAGTCTTGTTTTTTGTCAATGTCTTCAGATTTGTCAATGCCTTCAGATTTGTCAATGTCTTCAGTGCACCTTGGACTTCTTCCTTCAATACCATTAATTTTTCTTCTTCTTCTGTTTTTTTTTTTTTTCTTCACAATTATAGGTTTATTGGGGGGTGTTAACAGGTTATAATTCAGGATCAGAAATGTTCAGGATAAAATTATTGGTGAGGTATGTCAGCGGTTTGAAACTACCAGCTGCACCGCGGGAGAAAGATGAGGCTTTCTACTCCCGGAAAGATTTACACCCTCGGAAACCCTATACAGGGTCGCTATGGGTCGGAACTGACTCGATGGCACTTAACAACAACAACAACATGTCTCTTTTGGTCTTCAGCCTCTCAGCAACATGGCCCTTGGCCTTTGCCTGCTAAGGCAGTGTTACAAAGCTTCTTTAGCACTTTGATAAATTCCCAAAGGGAATTCCAATCTTCCATTAGCTTCAGCCCAAAGGTAGGCAGCTCCACCTACATGGGTCAGCAAACCTCACCATTGATTCTTGATCATATTCTGCCTCCTGAAAATGGGTGAATGTCAACCAATTCTTTTGGGTACAGTAAATCTGTATTTCTTCCATATTCTTTTGATGCCTCCTGCATCATTCAATATCTTACCTATGTTGTTGTTGTTAAGTTGAATCCTTCAATATTGCAACGTGAGGCTTGAATGTTTTCTTCAGTTCTTTCAGCTTCGTTTTCTATCTCAAGGTATTTGTACATTTCATTATACTACTTTGTCTTCTCAAGCTGCCCTCTGAGATCATCTGTTCTGCTTTTCCACATCACCATTTCTCCCTCCATTTTAGCGATTCTACACTCAAGAGCAAGTTTCAGAGTCTCTTCGGACTCCATTATGATCTTTTCTTTCTTTTTAATGACTTTTTGGTTTCTCCATGTATGATGTCTTTGATACCACCCTATATTTTGTCTGGTCTTCGGTCACTAGTGTTCAGTGCATCAAATCGATTCTTAAAACCATTAGAGGGAAATAATAAATAGAAGGAGCACTGCCTTCCCTTAAATAAAACACAAAACCGAGAGCACCACACAGGCTCGCTGACGCTGACGCTGACGTTACGTCTGGTAAGTGAGGTGTGCACAAGCAGTGTGCAGGTGAAAGGGGAAACTATTTTTTAATATCTCTGGCATATTAAAAATGATGATCTTGAGGTCATCAGGCTCAAGAATGAAGCAGATAAAAGCCAAGCTAACCAGGCCATGGAGGGTACTTAGGGATATGGACAATGAAGGCAACCTACGTAACCAATCTCGAGTGAACTCCAGAGCTGAGCATCACCTTCTCCCATAAAGATAATAGGAATAGGAGTAGTAAGAGCAGATACCATGTCCTAAACCTCTCCTGAGTGCTAGTCACTGCACTTTGTTGTTGCTGCTGCTCACGGATGGGCTGTCTACTTGGTTCTGGCTCATGGGACCCCATTTGTCAGAGGTGAACTGCTCCCTAGGGTCTTAGGGTTTCGAAAGCTGACTGCCAAACCTCCCTTCTGAGATGCCTCTGGGTTCAAACCATTCAGCTACTAGTTGAATACGTAACCATTTGTGCCACCGGGGGCCCTCTAAGTACTTCCTGTTTCCCTTTGAGGTTTACATTATTACCCCCATGTTACAAATGTGGAAACTGAGGGTAGGAAGGGGTTAAATGACTTGGTCAATGCATTGGATCCATCTCTAATGTCTGGGGCCACCTGGCTCACCTCTCATCCCAAAGGCAATGACCCAGAAGCCCCTTGCCACCCTGCTGGAGAGCTCACCTCCCAAAGGGTGCCCCGTGTGCTGAGGAACTTGTAGATGATGTAAGCAGGCACCAGGACCATGGAAGACAGGGCGATGCCCCAACCGACCCAATTGGCCCAGACGGGGAAGATGTAGTCATCGTAGGTGAGCGGTTTGAAGTTGATGATGCTGACCACCACTACAAACTGGGGGCAGAGAGGAAGGAGAGGCAGGAAGACAGAGAGGAGAAAGACAAGGCAAAGAAAGAGAGGAGGTGGGGGAAACAGAAAGAAAGATGAGAGAGATGAGACGTGAGATGAATAATTGGGAAGGAGAGAATAAAGAAGGGGGGAACGAGAGAGGAGACAGAGGAAAGAAGGAAGGAAGGAGAAAATTGAGAAAGACAATAAGAAGGAGGCAGAGACATGATTGTTAGGTAAAAGAGAAGAGAGAGTGGAGAGAGACGGAGGAGGCCATGAATCCAGGTTCTAGACCCCGTTGAGCTGGAAACCTATCTTGGTAACAACAGCACTGAGCAGTTGTCAGCTCCCAGAGCCGCCACCCTCCAGAAGTAAACATGCTCACCCACCCCATCCTGGACGCCCACCGTAGCCCTCACCAGACCCCCTAGCCACAGGCTACACACCAGCAGGAAGGCAGGGCTGAGAAACTTCCAGCATAGTCTCCAATAGAGGCCTGGCTTAAAGCCCATCATCTGCTGGATGTCATCGCTGAATCTGTCCACACCTGAGAACACAGGGCAGGCCCATCACTGTGGTCTGCAGAGCCCAGGCCACTCCCGCTGCCCTCCCCAAGGCCCCTGGGAGGAGGGAGTGAGGCAAGACAGGAATGTCCAGGGATTGGGGGCACCTCAGCATGGCACTTCGCTGGCTTCAGAGCAAAGGAGAAAACATGCTAATGGGCCTCACCACCTTCCACAGATTTTTCAGAGGAAGACCAGGGTTCGAGGAGCCTGCCTCCTAAATCCCACCTCCTTCTTCTGCCTCACACTTTCTTAAAAACAACTCCTGTGTGTATACAGCATTTTCCCTGACTTTAATCTGATAGAATAGTCCAGACTCTTACACTGCAATCTCTTTCTAACTGGTACAAAATAGTGAAATTAAGATTGATAAACAGTCTCCAAAAGTTAACAGTGGTTAGTTTTAGTGTGACATATGGGGAAAAAAACCCCAAACTTACAGTTTGTAAATTATTTTCCCAGTCCAGTTCTAGAATAAGGTTGCCACTTATAGGACACCCAGTTAAATTTGAATTTCAGATAAACAACAGTCATACATTTGTTATAATTTGCCCAATATGTGGAGTCCCTAGGTGGCACATATGGCGAACATGTTGTTGTTGTTGTGAAGTGCTGTCGAGTTGACTCCGACCCATAGCGACCTTGTATAAGGTTTCTGAGGAGCAGCTGGTGAGCTTGAACCACCGACCTTGCAGTTCAAACAGCTTTGCAGTCTGGCACATTAACCCACAGCGCCACACACTTGACTGCTAATCAAAAGGTTGACAGTTTGAGTCCACCCAGAGGTACCACAGAAGAAAGGCCTGGCCATCTACTTTTGAAAAGCCATCAGTTCAAAGCCTTCTGGAGCACTGAGACACATGGCGCGGCAGTGACTCGGAATCAACTCCACAGTATCCAGTTGGTTGGTATGCAACATATATGAAGAAATTATTCATTGTTTTCCTGAAATTCATGTTTAATTGATCATCCTCTATCCTGCTTCTTCTTCTGGTAACCCAATTTACAACGGATTGCAGGATTTGGGGGGCAGCAGCTTCTCTAGGGTTCCTCTTTAAAAATGAACATTTTCAGATAAACAATAGTCTCCTGCTCTGCTTGGGGGGGGGGGGGGCAGATGTCCCTGCAGTCTCCTGCCAAAGGGAGTTTCTCCACAACTGAGCTAAAGGCTGGAGAGTTGTTCAACTCTGAGATTCGCACTGAGCTGTCTTTCTCTAGGTAAAGGGAGACAAGACTTTCCCGCACACTTAGGGAAGAGCACGTACCATAGAACCAGGAAACTCCAATGGCTTCCATGAGCACAGCAAATAAGATGGAGGTCCCGGCTGCAAAGGTGTCCAGCAGGGTCAACACGTAGATCCCTCCCTACAGCACAGGGAGGAAGTCTGAGGTCACTTACCTTGGCTGGAAGTAGTCATGGCCTGTCACAACGTACCTGTTCCCTGTCCCACATCCTCGACTGAGCATGTGATGAAAGGAGTATGGTGTTATTGTGCCAATAACTACATACTTGCATTCTAACAAAGTCTTCTGGAGTCACTAGATCTAAAGGTAGATCCTTCAGCCAGTACAGAGCAATGGGGAGAGGGTGCCAAGGGGCTTTTCCTGCCCTGCAAATCAGCAAGCAGTCAAAGGGGCTGCCTGGAACTCCTTGGTCTTGTTACTGATGTTGGGGTCTAACCACAAGAAGCCTGGTCTCAGGGTGAAGGTGACGGCTCTCACCAGGGTTCCCCCTGAACTCACTCAGCCCTATCCACCCTCAGCATCAATGTTGGTCATGCCCAGTGTTATCAAATGCATCCCAGAAGCTCCAGGGAGGCCCAGGGCCCAGCCCCCACTCACCTTGGTTATGCAAAACAGTGCCAGGAGGAAGGTACCAAAGGTGATGCCAAATGTGAAGAGTTTCCGGTGTCTCTTGAGGACCTGGAAGTCGTCAGCCAGCCCGGTAATGACTGCCTCCATGCCTCCCATCTGGGGAACCAGTCGGGGTGGGGTGGGGTGGGGCAGCCATGAGGGCGCCTGGGCCTCCTGAAATCTGCAGTCCTGCCTGCTCCCCTACCCATTCTCTCACTTTTAATCACATCTGCCCTGTTCTTCACCAAACTCAGAGCCAAGAAATGATATGCAGAGGGCGATGTGTTACCTCCCATCTCCCTTAGCTCCCACCTCTCCTGAATCAACATGTCTGTACCCTTTCTCACTCATTCACCCTGCATGAGGTTGGACAAGCTGACGGGAGAGTGAATGGGGTTAGCTGCTCAGACACTCTTGTACTACATTTATAATATTATATAATTATCATTTTGTTGTTGTTGTTGTTGAATGCCATCAAGTCCATTCCAACTCATAGGGTTTCTGAGGTGTGCCTGGTGGGTTTGAACCACCGATCTGACAGGTAATAGTCCAGTGCTGATCCTACAATGCCACACCAGGACTATAAATAGATATAATCATATTATAATATATGAATAAGAGCTTCCTGGAAACAGCTGCTGAAAAAGAGATTCCAGTGGCAGAAGGTCCTGACAAGGACTTTGGGATACCTTTCCAGTTATCAAGCCAAGTGGTCACCCACAAACCCCAGGCACCCAGTGTCTGATGGGGTCTCATGCCCTACTAATGCCTGAAAACTTACTCGTGATGAGGTCACTGCTATATCCTCACATGAGCAATTCCCCTGTGTTTGCCCAAGTAAACCCCAAGCCCGGTGTCAAGTATGAAGTAGGCAGCCGCCACTCTCCTCTCCCCTTGGTAGACATTGTTAATCAAAATCAGTGTTTCTTTCTATGAGCCTGGAAGCACAGGATCCTTCTAACTTAACACTGCTCAGGCAACCATCCAAAAGAAAACAGCGGGGAGTAGGAAACCTAATTACCTAAGACTTTGCAAATTTCCAGCCATGCTGCACCGAAGGGTGGCCATAGATAAAAGAATATGTCAGTAACCCAATCTTACAAATGGGCAAAATAAAAGGATCTAAGAAACCCAAAACATTTCGTTGGCTGTTGATGATGAACTATCAAGAGTTCAGCCTCTCGGGGTTCAGTGCTATCCTGGCTTATTTGCAATCCTTCCAAGCTTGGATTTCCAGGGGCCAATGGGATTTCTAGTGGGTTTGGGTTTTGGCTTTTCTGAGTGAGGACTCACTTCCTTGTTTGAATTTAAATCAGGGCTTTCTGGAGACAACTAGTAAAGCAAGTAGGGGCAGTGGTGTGTACGTGGGTGGGGGGTTTCCTGAGCTGTGTTGCTCACCGAACTGTCAATGCCCAGAGCCAGGAGCATGATGAAGAACACAACAGACCAGAACGTGGACCCCGACAGAGTGGAAATGGCTTCTGGGTACAGGATGAAGACAAGGCCAGCTCCTGTAAGAAACATCGATGGTCTCATCAAGGGCTAAGAGTATTGGTCTGAACTGTGGATGGTAGGAGAGTATTTTGAGTCCCAAGCAGTCCTTGTCCAGCCCCATGACACCTGGTCAGTTGCATGTAAGCAGAGCAGACCAAGGGTCCAGAGATGCCAGGTGAAGCCCGCAGAAGTCTGCAATTCACACCCCAGCAAAGCACCAATTCACCAGCAAAGCTGCAATTCACCACAAAGCGGTGCTCTGTCTTGGCAGCTCTAGGTTACAGGGTATGCATCCTAGTTTCTGCACAGACACTTAGGGTCCTCAGAGTTGGCTGGAGGAAACCCCTTCCCAGGCCTCAGCTTCTTTGTGACCATCAGAATATGGGCTCCAGAGTCGAACTGCTCTGGGATTGAAGACTGGTACCAAGGCCCATTACTGGTGATTGTGGGCAAGTGACTTCACCGGAGTCTCCATTGTTTCATCTTTGAAGTGAGTCTATTATCACAGTGAAGATCCCTGATGGCCCAAACAGTTTGCACTCAACTACTAGCCTAAAGATTGACAGTTCAAACCCACCCAGAAGTACCATGTTTCCATAAAGATTACAACCAAGAGAACCCTCTGAAGCAGTTCTACTATGTAACACGTGGGGTTGCCATGAGTGGGAACTGACTTGGCAGCAATGGTTTTGGGTTGTTTTGAGTTTGGACTTTTGTTGTTGCTGTCATCTTACCATCGCGAGAGCTCAATGGAGGTATGTAAAGTACTTATCACAGGGGCTGGTACAGAGTAGAAGCTCCAGGATTCCAGAGCCCAGATAGCCTGAAATCTCCACAGACGGCTCCATGGGCACGTCAACCAGTGCACCATTTGGAAGCCTCCAGGTCCAGTCTTCTGAGTCCCACAGTCATGGGGGAGTTGTGAAGCCCAGACTTAAGTGCGTTTCACGGCTCCTTCTTGGGGACTGGGGTCAAAGTGGTCTGCTCACTCACCTTCAGTGGCAACATCCTCAATGTTGACCTTGTGTTCATGGGCCATATAACCAAGGATAGAAAAGATGGCAAACCCAGAGATGAAGCTGGTGACACAGTTGATAGTGCTGGTCAGCAGGGCATCCCTGGAGGAAAAAAGCACTGTTTGCTCAAATCTGCTGAACCCAGCCCACCCTGCTCACTAACGGTTGGGCCATCTAGGGAATCTGTAGCCAGGATATGCTGCCCTTAAATGCCACATGACCCCCAGTGCCCCACCACCATGTGTCAGCACCTGCTGGTGCAGGAAATAAGAGAATAGTTTCCAGATGGAATTGTTTGATATCACAGTCTGGTATCAAACTCACTTATTTGGGTATCAATTCACCAGCCTGGCTCTTCCACAAACTTTCCACGATGCCTCTCAACTTCTCCTGCTGCCATTCAAGGTCTTTGCTAAGATGACCCAACCTCCCTTCCATGCTTATTTTCCAAGACTCCTAGACAAACATTCTTTGAAGAAACCAAACCCATCAACTTACTGTTCCTTCCTGTCTTTGCTCTTCCTGTTCCCCCACCATGAATGACATCATGCCATGTCTGCCTGACAAAATCCTAATGACCTCCAGAGGCTCGCCTCAAGCTCAGCCCCACACTTTTGCTGGTCCCTGACCAGACGGCTGAGCACGCCATCACTCCTTACCACCTATTCCTGTGTATGCCGTCATCCTACTTTGTCTTGGATCAAAGGAGTTGTAAGTCTGCCTTCAGGCTTTGGAAGAGAGTGGTAGAGAGGAAGCCGAGTCTGGGTCCATATCTGAAGCCCTCAGAGCACTTGGACTCCTAAATGCTTACTGAACTGAGCGGGAGCATGGCCTTCTGCCTCTGCTGCCCTGTACAGATGTCTTGGTCTGTCCTGCCGTCTTTCCAGGCCTCGCTCTCCTAAGACCATCATGTGACCAGCCTGAACATTCTATCCTGCCTTCCTGAGCATCAGATGGGCAGGATCAGGCAATGCCAACTAATCGGTTGGTCGTTCTATGCCTCTCCATCCCAGCCTCCCCCATGACCTCCCAGCACTAATGACCTCAACTTGTCCAGTCCTGCACCTCGCATCCGTTTTAGAGGCAACTTGAACTGAAATGTGTCCATCAGCACTGCCATGATCCATGCTGGAGTTCACAAAATGCCGAGGAAACTTTACTTGGCCCATTTCACAGAACAAAAGAGTGAAGAAGAAAACTAAGTTGCCCAACATCACAAAGCAAGCTGCTGACAGAGCCAAGAATGGAATGAACAGAGTTGGCTTCCAGACATAGCCCTCTCTCTGAACACCTCAAGGGTCAGCCCCCAGGGTCTAGAGCTTTCCAGAGTCCTTAGACATCTCTTACCTATAACAGTTGTTGTCAAATTTGTTGTAACTGGCAAATGCAATCAAAACACCAAATCCAGCTCCCAAGGAAAAAAATATCTGAGTTGCAGCATCAATCCAAACCTGAAACCAGCAGACAAAACCATCACCTTCTGCAGTTCATAGAATGTGACCACCCCACTGCTTCAGGGATACCCTGAGACCCAAGAAAAGATGATTTAATCATGGAGAGTTCTGCCCCCATGCAACCTACACAAAATGAGCCTTAGTGGTACAAACAGTTAATGTGCTCAGCTGCTAACAAAAAGGTTGGAGGTACACCCAGAGGCACCCTGGAAGAAAGACCTGAGAATAAACTTCCAAACATCAGTCATTGAAAACCCCATGGAGCTCAGCTCTGCTCTGTGAGTCAGAATCGACTCAGCGGTAACCATGTTCAGGGGGACAGGAGGCCATGGGTGGTCACCACGGGGCGCTCCCCAGAGGAACTCACCGGCTCCATGGGATGCTGGGTTTTTTTGTTTGTTTTTTTTTAGTTTTTATTGTGAATTGAGTGATAGTTTACATGGGAGAACATCAGTTTTACACACATCATTTCACTGCAATGCTTACAATCTGCTTCATGGTAATGCCATAATTTAAAAATGAAGTTAAAAATCAAAAGTTCTGGGTTTGAATATGGCTGGGACAAGGGCTATGACTATCTCAGGTATGGAAAAGATATCTTCATTCCCCAGACAGAGGTGACTCCTTGTGAGACCAGAGGGTTACTTGTGTCTTCTTCTGGGTGGTAACTGCCCAGGGCTAAAAGCCTGAAGACCTGGGTCCCGCTCTGACCTCTCTGCCTCAGATGGTCTGTTGTTACTGAGAGCATTCGAGTTGATTCTGACTCACAGTGACCCCACATGGCAGAGAAGAACTAACCCATGGGGTTTCCTAAATTGTAATCTTTCCTAAATTGAAGCAGACTGCCAGGTTTTGTCTCTCACAGAGCAGCTGGTGGGTTCCAATTGTTGACCTTTGGTTAATAGTCAAGCAATTAATCACTGTGCCATCAGAGAACCTTGCCTCATGACCTAGGCCAGGTCAATGTCACCTGTGAATATCTGAGTTTTCTCATTTTTCCTATATACACAATGGGAGTTCACCTGGGCAATTCAGATTTGAGAGATTTCTGCCATTATCACCACTCATGTTGTCCCAGGTTTCCCTGACATTGTAGGGACAGGACATAACTGGAGGAGCAATCTCATGGCAGGACACAGCTGGAAGACTTGGGATATTTACACAGTAGCAGAACAAATAGAATTCTGACTTGTTTCACACTCTTCAAGGTGGATTCAGTCATCATTTGAAAATGCTCAACACACTAGGCATCTCCAAGTTTGCCTCTGCTCCCAAAATTTACCCTGCTGCTCTGGGCCCCACTTCCAAGTCCATTTCCACATCCACTCAGAATCTGTGAGCTGAGGAGGCAGTGGGGAGCAAGAGTCAGCAGGTTCATGGTCTTGCTGGTGGCTGTTACTGTTCCTAATACAGGATGGTGGCAAAGGTCAGGGTCAGGGACTGGAGGTAAGAGTAAGACTAGAGTGGTTATGGGTACAGGACAGAGGTAAGGCTCCAGAGTATCACACAGCCTTCACAAGGTATCGTTCTCCTGAGAAAAGGGGTCCATGAAGGCCACAAAATGGAACCCCAGAATTCCAAGCTAGCAGAACCAAATGGCCTGACAGCGCCACCAGGTTCTAATCAGGACAGGTCAGCTGATGAAGATGAGACCCAGGGAGGGAAATATCTACACAGAAAGTCAATGGCAAAGCTGGGATCAGGGTTTCCATTGTATCCTTCCCAAGAGCCCTATCCCTACCCCTACCCCTACCCCTACCCAACCCAAGAGGGTGGTCCCCCAGCACTGACCGTGGCTTCTTTTAAACGGTAGAAGTCAATGTGCAGGTAGGCGTTGATGCCGTTGGAGGCTCCGGGCAGCGTGATGCCATGGACCAGGAGCACAAACAGCACGAGGTATGGTAGCGTGGCCGTGATCCACACAACCTGAGAAATGGACAAGCTCACCATGAAAGCCTTACTCTGCCCTGGGATTGCCAGTCTCCCAGGGTACCAGTCCTGCTCTCTCCCCACCTTCATTCAAACAGTGAACAAGCTACACGCTTCATTTCTAGGCCAAGCCCTGGGTCAGACTCCAAAGACAGAGCATGAACAGGTTTAGGTTTCATCCTAAAGAAGCTGAGAACTTACCGGGAGAGTCACCCATGCAGGCATGGCACCATGATGGCAAGCAAGGGGAAACAAGGCAGGACTAGGGTCCTATAGCCCTGGTCACCTCCTCCTCCTCTCCAGAGTCACCCTTCCAGAACCTTCAAGTTGGTTCCAGTAGAGCTAAATACACCCACCCACCATCCATCATATACAATCAGAATTGGCCTCATTGGCAAAATACTTAGAGAGATCTCTTCTCCTCATCCTCCCTCACATTCTCTCTCCCTCTGTTTCTCTCTATTTTCCTCTCTTCCACTCTTTCTTCCTCTCTTCTTCTTTTCTCATCCTTGACCCTCACCAAAGCCCAGAGGTTAAACTCATTCTCCAGGGGGGATATGGCTGGTCAGAAAGCAGAAGCTCTGGCCGTTCTTCAGCTTAGTGGGAAAGGATTTAGGATACAGAGAAACACAAAACAGAAGAAATTAGCCCCAGACTACCCCCCCACACACCCACCCACACACACACACATGTACAAGCCTTGCCTAGTTAGAAGGATTAGAGGAGAAAGGTGTGTGCTGGGAAGGACAAGCTTCCTCCTTGGACCTGGAGAAGGGGAATAGAAGATCTTAGGTAGAAATCCATATCTAATCCAGTACGCTGAACCAATTCACAAATACAATTTTCAAAACTCAGACACCTTCTCTAGAGTTTTCACATTAATTGGTTTGGAATGTAAATGTGCAAGAAAAGTTACTTGTCACTGCTATGGGCAGATGCAGCCATGTGCAGTCTTGCTGAAAGAAGACTGTGCCCCATACAAAACACCAAGTAAAGGGTGGAGTAGCCAGACCCAAGAAAGACCCAACCAAAACACTAGAGGACACAGGGTTCCCAAAGCCCTTGTTCTCTGAAGCCCTAGGGAGACGATGGAAACACTGAAACATGACTAAGGTCAAAGTTCTTGGTCAGCTTGGAGGGCTACGGGATGACATGCAAACTAACCCAACAAGTGAGTGAATGCATCAACAGTGGTCACATCTGGTGGGGTCAGAGGGAATGAGAGGAGGGTCAGCTTAGTTTCATGCTATTCAGTTGTTCTTCCATTGATCCACTCTTCTATGGAGGTCTTTGTAGATTGAAGGTTTTGACATTTTGTTTCTCTCAGTGAGACAAGAACAGGAAGGACAGATTACCAATAACAAATGAGAAACACTTGTTCTGGAAAGTGAAATTAATTGTTCATGTGGGTGGACTCATATCAATCTTGGATGCAGTCTCCCAAATTGGGGAAAGTGGGTGGAAATCCCTGGTGAAGAGCACAAGGAGGAGCCCTCACATGACTTTGTGGAGAGTCCCAACTACCAAGTGTCCCGTCCACTCATGTCAATTGCAGACACACTGACAGAACTCATATCAAAAATCAACACCCTGAATTCTGACTCCAAAGAATTTCACAAGGTTCTGGAGGCCACCATGGTGGAGGCTCCAACGTGGATTTCCATTTTCCCAGGGAACTTATGAGGACATGACTGAGAGACTGAGCTGATCTTAAAAACTGAAATCAAAGATCTGAAAAAAGGGGGTTTATTTTGTCCATGCGCATGTGTTCAAAGTGAAATCATGGAGTGTGGAAGGTCCTTGGAAATGATGGTGGATGTGAGCTCAGTTGCCTAAAATCTTTCTGTGATGAAAACGGAGCCTCCTGGATCCCTATCCAACAGCCCCTCTCATGCACAAGTGTGCTCTGGATGCTGACTGGGCAAAGAGAAAGAACATTTGGGTTGGGTGGGTCATCTCCACCCAAGGTCTGCAGCTCTCAGAATTCAACTTGCAATGCATCTGACCATGAAAAATCAGACTTTGTCCAACTTTGAGTATGAGATGAAAAGAACAATCAGCAGCCCATTGCTCTTGGCAAGTAGCTTCAAACTTAGTTTATCATGCCAAATCCAAATTCTTGTTCACCTGGCATTTCTGATAAGAATTAGAATTTCTGTGGTTCCAGAGTACCAAACTCAAAGCAACAGCTGAAAACTAAAATAAGAAAGATCCTGGCTCAATAAAAGGAAGAAATTTCTAATGGATTAATGGGTAAAGCTCTCCAAATAGGGAATGGGATGCTCACAGAGGTAATGAGGTCCCTGTCATTGAAGGTGTGTAAACTTTGCTAGAGACCCAAACATCAAAGAATTACCTAGATCAAGGCCACATCAGCAACATTTACCAGCAACATCAGGAACTTGTCTGAAATGCAAATTCTCACCCCACATCCACTGTCTCAGGTTCTCCTGGGAGGGACCAACAATCTGAGTTTTAGCAAGATGATTCTTGTCAAATCTCTTCTCTGGATGATTCTTACACTCTGTGGCCCACCTTATGTGTCTCCAGCACAGACACTATAAATGCCCAAACTTGATCTCTACTAAACTGACCTAATTTAACCTCTATTGATTTAGAACTTGTGGTCCTCCAAATCGGATTTTAGGAATATCTGCACTAATAATGGAAATCTAATAAAAAGGATTATGAAGCGGGGGTGTTTGGGGGGTGAGAGGGGTGATAGATTAAAAACACCAGACTATGCACATTTTAGCACATTGTTTGCTTATATACAAATGATGCTGGTCATTATAATTAGGTCCAATTAGGTCCAATTAGGTCCGTTATAATTAGGCTTGTGTTGTTGTTTAGTGCCATCAAGTCGATTCCAACTCATAGCGACCCTGTATAGGGTTTCCAAAGAGCAGTGGTGAGCGCAAACTGCAGACTTTGTGGTTCTCAGTCCAGTGCTGACCGACCCTATAGCACCATACCAGGAGGCCAGACCAGCCTGTATTGACACATTAATGGGATGACTTGGCTAGAATTATGACTTGAACCCTAAAGTAACAAAACTACATTTATATTTAAATGAACTAGAACCTAGGTTTTGGTTTTGGTTTTGAAAATTAATCTGGCTTTCTCTCTTCCCAATGCCATCATTTTCCCCAGAATTCAGGAGGTGTTCTAGATGGAACAGATGGTCCCGTTCCCCAAACAGTTCTAAACCTGGCAGTGAAATGGGTCTAGATGGTTCTTAATCCTGTCCTGGTTTATCTGAAGGCATTAGGGGGTCCGAGATTTCCAAAAGTTTAATCTAATATGTGACATCCCCAAAGAGCCCCTTCTCAAGGGAAGTGGCAGAGCAGTGTTCGAAAACAGCCAAGGTGGGCACAGATCACCTGGGTTGCAGGTGAAGGGGACAATGACAAGGATCGTTTATGAGCAATTCCCTTCTGTCAGTCCTGAGCTGCTACATGCAACCTCCCACTCCATCCCCTCAGCAGCCCTGGAAGTAGGCACATTTATTCCCCTCCTTCGACAGGGAACACCAGTAAATGACGGGACCTGGACACCAAACCAAGTCTTCAGGTTACAAAGCCCGCATTCTTAACCACTCTCCATCCTTAATCTTTGAGGAGTCCTGGTGGTGCTGTGGTTAAGTGCTCAGCTGCTAACCAAAAAGTAAGGGATTCGAATCTGCCAGTCACTCGGTGGGGGAAAGATGTGGCAGGCTGCTTCTGTAAAGATTTACAGCTTGGAAACCTTATAGTATCACTAAGACTCAGACTCAATTTGAGGGCATCAGGTTTAGTTTGGGTTTTAGTTTTAGTTTATATTGTATCTTTGAGATTCAAGTTCAAGTCTTAGTTCTGTGGAAGGTCCTCATGAGACCCTGTCCATATCTAGGCTCTAGTTTCCCCATTTGTACAAGAAGGTGGAGATGGTCTGCAGAGCTCTCCAGCGCTGACTGTGGCTAAGGGGCCTGTGGGTTTTAAGAGCCAGGACCCGGGAGGAGGCAGGACTTCAGGATGGCAATTCCACGGTGAGTTCACACTTGTCAGTTTCCCTGGGGCTGCAAGTTCTGATTCAAACCTTCATCCTCCTCCTGAGATGGTCAAAGGGCTAGGGGTCACAGAGGGTGTGAGGTAGGGCCAATCTTTTTCACCCCCACCTTCCCAGCAGCTGTTGAGTCCTGCATCTTTGTAAGCACAGAGACTTCCTTTGCCGTGACTAGGGTGTGAGCATTTACAATTCATTTCAGGTCTGTTCTGGGACTGCAGATGCCTGTTAAGAAAAGCTGTGTCCTGTTCTAGATGCAGAACTTGGTTTTCTCAGGAGCCAGTTTATTAAAAAAATCTAAAAAACAGGGCATAGGAATGTTCTAGAAAGTTACTTGCCTGCTCAGCTGCCAGAACACAGGGGACGTATGCAACATGTGGGCTATGGCTTTGGTTGACACACACGGGGTACTCATAGTCTTCACTCCTTGTGTTTCCATAAAGAGGAACTTCTTTAGTGTGACACACACCACTCACACATTCCTCGCAAAGAGCGTGTGGTGAGGAACTAAGCATTCTCAGCTCGTGTCCTGGTCTCTGTTTAACATCACTCTCCCCTGCAGCAACTGGTGCTCTGCACTGACTCAGTACTAAACCAGGTGGGGCAGGGCTCCCTTTTTGATAATGCCTGTAGTTGCCTAAGGTCCCTAGGTGGCATAATGGTTTGCTCCCTGGGACTAACTAAAAAGGGTGGCAGTTCAAATCCACCCAATGGAGCCATGGCTTGGCAGTCTGTTTCCACGATGATAACAGCCAAGAAAAGCCTCACTGCTCTGTCACATGGCTTGCCATGAGTTCGAATTAACTTGATGGCAATTTTTTTTTGGTTTGTGGTTGCCTATCACTGGGTTGGCTTAAAATTGGGGAAACTTAGTTATAGGTACAATGTTAAAACCCTTGGTGGCCCCACACACTGTCCAGATTCTCCAACCATAGCAATAGCAGAACGCATGTGACTTCATAGACTGTGGCTCCCCTGCCCTGCACAGACCAGGAGAATGCTACTCCCAACACCCAGGAAAGGCTGTCTTGGGGCTTCCCACCTCTGCGACTTGGCTCACACAGCTCCTTCCATCCCAGCTTGACCTGAGTCTGTCGGTGAAGAACCAGCTCAAATGCCTCCTTCTCCAGTGTTTTTGGAGACTTCCTCCCTCCACTAAGGTAACAGCTCTACCATGTTGTTACCATAACCTCTGGTAAGAAATACCATCTATAACAAGACAAAGCACGCACACTTATACTATTGTAATTAACTTAAAAAGTCCACCAAACTGCTCTTAGTTTGCTAGATGCAATGTGTTCTGTTCCTGTGTAGCCCATTTCATTGAAAATAATGTTTGTGGCAATCCACTAAACTGATTTCATGACAGTTTCTTTATAGTGCAACATAACTGTTGCTGTTGTTAAGTGCCGTCGGGTCAGTTCTGATCCTGTATAGTGTTTCTGAGGAGCAACTGGTGGGTTTGAACTGCTGACCTTGTGGTTTACAGTCCAGTGCTGATCCTACAGCACCACACCAGGAGTCCATAGATAAGTGTGGAATTATATAGCATGGAATCAAATAGGCCAATGATTTATTCAATCCTAAAGTCAAGATTGAAAGCTTTAAGACTGGTTGGTGGTGGTCTGACTCATAGCGACCCTGTCTAGGGTTTTCAAGGTTATAAATTTTTACAGGAGTACAAAGCCTCATCTTTCTCCTGAGAAGTGATAGATTAAAACTATAGACCTTGTGGTTAGCAGTCCAACTCACAACCCACTCTACCACCAGAACTCCTTTTTAGTAGTTTGCAACCTAACTACCTGATATGCGATGATCTCCAAAGAATTATGAAGGGGAAAAACAGCAATATAGGTCTCTTATCTCTAATAGCATGTAAACTTTGTGACCATTAGTTTTTGTTTAAAGGGATGCTGTGGGTTAATGTGCTAGACTGCAAAGTCGGTCTGAACCGCAAGGTTGGTGGTTCAAGCTCACCAGGCACTCCTCAGAAACCCTATACAGGGTTTGGCACTTAGCAACAACACATATGTACAAACTATCTCTGGATGGATACCGAAGAACAAGTGACCTTGGTTGACCCACAGCCCATCAGTAATATACTCAGATTACAAGCAACTGAAGAAGAAATCTACCTTAGTCATTTCTGCATCATTTGCATCAAGCCAGGAACACAGGAGAGGTCTGTACATGTTCAATAACTTGAGCTGAATTCAAAAGAACACTTAATGAAGTACCCAAACCTATTCATCCACCTTCATTTCTTCTTACCTTCCTTTGTTTCTAATTAATCTTTCACAAAACCCTTACTGAAGGACTATGATGTACCAGACACTGGGATGGTGTTGGTCCTAGCCTGGTTTTGCTCTATTCCAGACTGCCTTCAAGTCCTGGTCTACATCCTAGATGGATCCTTCCTTGAGTCAGACACTACGTCCCCCACATGCTGATAAGATGTTCCATCTCAACTTCCTGACTAACTTCATCCCACTGACCACTTGCCCCTACCACCATCTTCACTCTCATGACATAACCAAGAGCTCTGGGAATACTCAAGAGAACCCTAATGCATTCTCCTTCTAAAACCAGTTTCCTAATGAAGCATTTCCCAATTTTATGCCTACCTGACTGTGGTAGACTGTTGCCTTGGTGACCCCAATAAACTCAGCTCTTGTGTACTTCCCTCCCATATTGACTTGAGATTTTACCACAAGACTTGTTTTGGCCACTGGGGCAATTGCAAGGAGGATGCAAAGAAAATGAGATAAGCTACTTGCACATTGAGGCTTGTCGGCTTGGAACACGTTCTTGGAATGCAGCTGCCATGCTGTGAGAAATCCAAGCACATGGAAAGTAACCAACATGCTCTAGCTGATAGCTCGAGTAGAGCTTCCAGCTGACAACAGTGCTAGTAACAGACATACGGATGCACCATCTTGAACATGCCACATGGAGCAGAACACCTGCCCACAGAATCCCAGTCAACCCACAGAATCATGAGGGGGCTTCCAAAAACAAAATGGAAAAAGAACAGAATTCTTCCAAATATTTTTGGAAGACTCTTCATAAAACAGTTGTTATATTTATAAAATCAACATATTTTGGGGTGGTTTGTTACATAGCAATAACTAACCAATACATCTCCTAGCGTTATCCTCTTTAATACATTTGAGTTTACATGGACCACATATGGGTCAAATGGGGTGTTTTCCCCAGGATGTTCCTCAGGCTAAGAATCACCATGGGGTACGGCCTGAGTATACTCCACCCCTGAGTGACTTACTACAGAAGCTAGTGTTACCCAGGTCCTGAATGCCAACTCTGGACACATTCCCACAAGTGATCTAAATCTGTGCCCCCTTTACCAGGGAAATACACATTGCAGCCATGGAAACACAAAGATACATCTAGATATCTTCTAGAACATCTCTTTAACTTGAGAATTCAGATTGATGTTATTACAGTAAAACAAATGGCTACATTCCAGAGTAAAATGAAACATGTGCATGAAATCCAAGATTGATCAGACAGTTGAGTAGAGTGTTGTAGGCTTTCCTCCACACTCCTGGGGATTTCCTAGTCTCTGGTATCGGGGGAGAGGGGCTTTGGTGGGAATGTATAAAAACTCCTGATCTTTTTATTCTGCTGATGGCTTAGATAAGTATTATAGATTGAATTGTGTGCCCCCAAAAGACATGTTGAAGTCCTACCCTTGGTACCTGTGAACAAGACTTTATTAGGAAATAGGGTCTTTGAAGATGTTACAGTTAACTTGAGGTCCTATAGGAGTAGGACGGGTCTTAATCCAAACTGAATGATTTTCTTATAGAAGAGACAAAGAAACAGGGAGACAGAGGAAGGGTGCCATGTGATGCTACAAGCCAAGGATTACCCAGGGCCATCAGAAACTAGGAGAAAGAAAGGCGTGAAGCTGATTCTCCCTCAAAACCTCAGAAGAAACTACCCCAGTCAACACCTTGATCTCACACCCCAGCCTCTAGAACTGTGAGTTGATACCTTTCTGTTCTTATAAGCCACCCAGCTATCTCCTCTTTAAGACATTTGAACTCACATGAACGACACTGGGCATAAATGGGGTGTTCAGCTCATGATGTTCCTCAGGGTAAGAATCAACACGGCCCATGGCCCGAGTATACTCCGCCCCTAAGAAACTTACGGAGGTGCTTTGCTATAGCAGGAAGCCAATACAGGTGCAGAAGTCGTGTGGAGTTTGACTCAGGCTTTGTGCCTACAGCTCCACCAATCTATCAACTACAGGTTATAACTAGAGAAAATAACCATTTTTTTGGAGCCAGCCTCCCAGCTGAAAGAGAAACAAAGAGATATTACCTTTCCTGATGTCTTCACACCTTTCCAGAGGCTAAAAAACAGGATGATGACAACGACCATCAGACAAAGCAAGAGCTGCCACTGTGGCAGGCCAATGTTGTGAATTCCGTCACTCTCATGAAGGTGGAGCATGCTGCGCCTGCCGGGGGTGGGGGGGAACACAGGCCAGAGAAAAGGGGTCAGGGCAGACCAAGGCCATGATTACAGGCCCATACCTGCAAGTGCAGATGGAGATAGGGACCGGCCTTCCCAGCCACTCTCCCCTCACTGTGCCCAGTGTGGCCCCTGCCCTGGGCAGCTCTGCCCAGGAGAAGAAAATCACCCGAGGAGACACCAGCACACGCTGCTTTTTAAAAGTTCTTGGAACTGGATTTAATGGAACAAAACTCTCTTGTTTGCCTACTACACGCCTGACTCTGAGGGCTAGAGATGACTAAGAATGGAAGGTTCCTACCCTCAGACGGCTCAGTCTAGAACTGCTCTCAACTGGGGAAGATTTTCACCTCAAGGACATTTCAAGGGAGAAAGAGACTGCTCCCGTAAAGAAACTCTACGTAGGGTCGCTATGAGTCAGCATCAACTCGATGGCAATGGGTTTTGGTTTTGGTTGAGTATTGCCATTAAAGAGTCCTGGTGGCACAGTGGTTAAGCACTCAGCTGCTAACTGAAAAGTCAGTGGTTTGATTTCCCAGGCACTCTGCAGGAGAAAGGTGAGGCAGTTTGCTCTTGTAGATTTACAGCCTTGGGTACCCTGTGGGGCAGCTCTATTCTGTCATATGGGGTCACTCGCTGTAAGTCGCAATCAGCTTAATGGCAAGAGTTTGTTTTTTGGTTGGATGTTCTGAAGAACCACTCTAATTTTGTCACTCGCCTGCCCCCAAATCCTCCGGGACTTGCAGTCACCTAAAAAGCCTATCTCACTTAATCCTGTGGTTTTGCCTCTGGTCCTGGGGCTCTAGCCACTGTCTGACTATCTGGCAATGTCTGGAGGTAATTTGGGCTGTTCCAAGTCAGGAGTGCTACTTCTGAATACCCTACAGTGTGCGCCCCCACAACGGAGGATTAACCAGCCCAAAATGTCAGTGGTGTTGAAGTTCAGAAATCGTGGTGGAAAGGATCAAATGTTAATATTTCAGCATCTGGGACCTTTCATAATCCGCTGGCAAGTGTCAGTTCATCCCCTGCTTCACCACACCCTTAAGTCTTTTGCTCCTGGCAAGCCACTTGGCATTCCCAGTCATTTGATATTCTAATTGTGGGCTTGGGACCAGCTGTTCCTTTAGCCTAGAACACATTTCCTGGCCCAATATATCTGCCTGGAAAACTTAGTTTCATCCTTTCAGTCTCATTGAAAGGAGCCCCGATAGCACAGTGGGTTAAGTTCTGGGCTGTTATTCATAAGGTTGGTGTAGGAAAAAGATGAGACTATCTGTTCCTGTAAAGATCTACAGTCTAGGAAGCACTAAGGAGCCCTTCTACTCCATCCTAGAGGGTCGCTAGGAGTCAGAATGGGTTTCTTTGGTTTGGTTTAGTCTCATTGAAAAGAGTTGACCCAAAAAACACAGCAATGGACTCAAATATGCCGACACTCATGAAGACGGTGCAGGTTTGGTCCCGTTACATAGAAGGTTGCTATGGGTCAGAACCACTCGATGGCAACCAATAGCAACAACGCATGTCAACTCAAAATTGACCTCCTCTGGGTAGTTTAAAAGGCCCGTTGCCATTAAGTGGCTTCTCTCAGAGAGAGACGAGGGGAATGTGGTGGAGCTGGGCCTGGGCTAAAACGATATAGAGCCAGAAGCAAGTACTGAACCCCCGACACCTAATTCTACTTCTAAGTGTTAAACGGTTTCAATTAATGTTCAGCTAACAGGGCTACTGAAATCATGCAAAAAGGTATTGAATTAACTGTTTGCTTTGAAATATCCTAAATGGCTCTAGGGTCCAATCAGATGGCCAAATGCTCTGAAAGGGCTCCAGTGACCACAAGAGCATTGAAAGTCCACTTCAGGACTTTGCAGGGGTTGTTATCGGTAAAGAACCCGATTCCTTGGAAAGGGAATCAGAATCTACTTCCTGAGTAGGCCCAAGCCTTGGGCGGTTAGTACAAGTATGAGGGGTCTTCAAACAGTTTGTGGAAAAGTTAAATGAAAAGATAATGGTATTTTTTCACAAAGTTATTGAAGTCACCTCGTAACTTGGGTTTGTTCTAATGTTTCCAGCAGCATTTAGTGGGAAATGAATCATCGTTAAATAATATATGGGCCAAGCTTTCCTCATGCTAGGGGCCAGTCTATTTCTTGCCTGACATTTAAGCATAGAAGGTTAGTACAGGGGTTGGGGAGACTTCTCTCCCTCACTAGGAATGGGTTTGGGATAGAAGTTTTCTATCACCATGCAAGTGTTTGCCAAGGATGCCCTTTTACAGATGAAGTTGCAAACAGAGGACCAGCTGTGGGGTTGTTTGGCCTCAAGCCCAGAACCTGAGTAGAATAGCGGTTTTGTTCCTTCCAATGCTATGTTCAGTCCATCAGCTTAAATGAATACAAGATGGTAACAAAATTGGCCAGGAGGCTCTGAAGGAGGAAAAAGAACTATCTAACCTCCCAGAATTGGCACTAGGAGTCTCTATTGTTGGGTGTCCAGTTGGGGATGACTGTTTTAAAGCAGAAACTTCTTTAGAAAAGGGCCAATTGCCATTAAAAACAAAACAAAAAAACTCTAGAGCCAACCCCTGTGACTTAATGCTATGCATTACAAAGCCCACAGCCAGGGTGTGAGGTGAGGGAGAGGCATGAGAAGGGCTCTTAGATACATGCAGGGACTCCATACCCCCATCAGAGACTCTGACAAGACAAAGGAGCTGAGCAGCAAGAGAGAGGCCTGGGTATTGGATGAGAACTCAGAGTCAGACAAGCAGAAGTCAGATTACAGCTCTGTCAGTTACCTAAAACCTGAGTCTCCACATTCTTATCTGTGAAATGGGAACCATTCCAATTTCCATGAACTAGGAAGATTGAAAGGGATTTGGCTGTGAAGAGATGCTCAGTGTCTGACATAGTGGGGGCATAAAGCTCTTGGGGTGGGGGGCATTAAAAGGAAGAGGCAGAGAGGGGAAATCTGTCTGTAGGTTTGAAAGTTCCTGAAATAAGTTCTGGATTCTGCTCCTCATATCTCTCCAATTCCTTAAGCCCCACCCACAAGAATGCCATTTTCTTCTGACACATTCTTCCCAAAGCAGAGCCCAGAGGAACTTCAGGGCTGTAATTAAAGTAACCAACTCACGTCTCCCTCCTTCTGGGTGTCTTGGCAGGGGCACGAAGACGTTAAGACGTCAGAGGAGGAATAAAACAATAACTAGACTAGAGACCAGGCTATCATTTTCCACTTTAATTTATAAGGACAAAGGTTGCCAAAAGAAAAATGATGTCTGTTCCTTCATGATGCACTAAGAGGAAGGCAGGGAACTAAGCGCATGTCTCAGCAGCGGCCTCTGCCCACGATCCTTTACCTCCTCCAAGAGAACCACACTCACGGAAACAGGAAGGTACACTGCCTACAACCTCCACCACAACCTCTCCAAAAGTTCTACAAGACCAGAAGAGCTGTGGGATGAAATCAAGAACATCATACAGGAAGAAAGGAAAAGGTCATTAAGGAGACAAGAAAGAAGAAAAAGACCAAAATGCATGTCAGACGAGACTGAAACTTGCTCTTCAGAGTAGAGATACTAAAGCAAATGGAAGAAACGAGGAGGTAAAGAGCTGCATGGAACATTTCAAACGGCAGCTTGAGAAAACAAAATCAAGTATTATAATGAATTGTACAAAGACGTGGAGTTAGAAAAACAAAAGGGAAGAGCATGCTCATCATTTCTCAAGCTGAA